CCCCGTAGCAGCTCCAGGCTCTGCTCGAGACCTGGGCACTCCCGCCCACCAAGCCCGTGCTGTGGGTTCACACCCTCGGTCTGTCGTTTTCATGGCTGAACGTGCTGCCCCCCATGTGCTGTGCAGGGGCCGCGCTGGCGCGGGAGGCAGGTCCTTGCCCTTTACATTCTGAGGATGAGAGGGGACTCCAACGTGGCGAGGTGTCCTAGCACCACTGGGAGGCGGCTGTCAGGCGTCCTTTGATGTCTGTCTCGGAGGGTGTGGGGTGGGGGAATTCCACACGGGGAGCCAGGGAGGGGCTGAGGGCGGGGGTGGTTTGAAGGAGACTCAAGCCACTGAGGGGTGGACAGCTGGGGTGGGCCTTGGGCAAGGTCCACCAGGAGAGGGTGGCTGAGAGAGGCACCTGGCCCCCACTCCTAACCGAGCCCCCACGGGGCCATGACCTCCTGGGCCAGAGCTGCTCCCTCCTGTCCAGCCAGAGGGCCCGAGTTCCCCCAGGATCCCCGACCAGCGCAGGCGAGGTCTGGCCCACCCTCACGATCCGTCTTCCCACGCGCTGCTCGGCTGCTGCCCCTCAGACCGCACACAGCGCGAGTTTATCCGACACCAGCCCGTCAGAGCTCAGTTATGGCTTTTTGACTTAAAATCATGAAGGGTGTTTCCTAACTGTTCTCCCCGCGACCCAACCCTGACCATGTGTGTGGGGCGGGCCATCCTCGAATGGACCAGAGAGACACACAGCTACACCCCTGGGTGCGGGCACCACGTGGACCATGCCAACCCGGGGCGGGGTGAGCAGGGGCCGAGACCAGCCGCCCCCAGAGCCGTCGTACTGTTCAGAGTGGGAGGCGGACACAGCAGACCGTCGCGGGCACACAGCGGCTCCTGCAGACGCCACGGAGAGGCGTGGACTCCCGCCCGGCAGCACAGACAGGCTAAGCCCGGCAGCGCTGTGACCGCCGTGCCTTTCCGGGGCCTGCAGGCCCCCAAGTCCACGGGGCGAGCCAACTCCACTTCCAATCTAACCTTGAATCTCAGCAGAGGGGGGGCCAACGGTGCGGTTCAGGCGGAAGGAGGGGAGGGCTGAGGCCAGGGCCCTAATACCCAGGCCAGGCAGGACCCTGAGGCGGCGGGAACCCGTAGGGAGGGGCCGGCCCGCGGGGGTAGGGAGGCTGAGGGGGGCCTGTGGGCTGGGGCTGGCCCGGGAAGCTGGGGAACTGGGGCTGTGTCGGGTAAGGAGGTTTTCCTCCCGCCGCGGGGTAGGAGGGCTGTTGAGGGTAACCAGGACTGCGAGCCTGGCCCCCCGACAAGGGGTACCCGGGGCCAGAGGCACCAGAGGCAGGTGCGGGATAGCCAGGCCGGGGCGGTGTGCTCCGCTGTGGGGACCAAGAGTAGCCCCCAGCGGCCCTGGGCCCTGGCTGGGCTGACGGGAAGGGGGGGCCCAAAAGGCCCGCTGTAGGAGAAGGAGGGCTGGGACATCACGGGGAAGGGCGCCGGTGGCAGTGCGCCCTGGGCGGTGGGGCCCATGGGCAAGCCGGGAGACGGGCTGTAGGGCAGAGGGTAGGGAGGCACCCCCGACGCCGGCGGGGGCTGGGGTGGCTGCTCTTGGCCGCAGGGGGGGGTGGCCTTCGGGGCCCGGGCGAGATGGGGGAGTTGGGCGGAGAGAAGGGTGCCAGCGCGGCGCCCGCGGGCTTCTGGGAAGCTCTGG